CAGTTAATCGACCTAATATATATATTTTTTTTATCTTTATGCCTGAATCAAACACATATTGAATAAACAGAAACCGTGCCAAATTTGATTTTTCAATGCAGAGCATGAACAAAATCACAATTAGGTTACATTGAATATGTAGATTCGTATCGATGTGTGTGTGTGTGTGTATCGTCTATGGAAATATGAAGTCATGCTTGGTAATGAATTACGAAAGAGCGTATAATCAGCTATTATTATGCACTGAATCCTGGCGTTTCTTTGAGGAGTTGCATCCACATTCGAAGAGATGAGCGAGAAAATGCATGTTTGCTTGTTTCAACTCAAGCAACTATTAGCCGGGTGGTTCCAAGGAGGGTGAATAGCAAAAGTCTTGGAACCAACTCCCAATACTCGTGTTGCATATCTTGTTCATTCTAATGAAATGGGAATTTCTCGGTCAGTTGTTATTGTCATCTATCCATTTTATTTCTATTTGCCAGTGCAATGTAATGAAATATATGCGTAGGTGTAGATGATGTTAGCATATCAAACTTTTACATCGAATTCATTCTCTTTATACATTATCCTAGAAGTAATAATTTCCAGGAACAATGTAGATAATAACACGAAGTCGTAAATTTCATCTCTTTTATGCCAATGAATATTCATCAATTCCTGAATATCCACTTCACTGAAAAAATACATGATCGATGGTCTAAGACGTCATAAATAACATGAGAAATCCGAGGTCAAAACGAGGCTGCCAAGCTGACACCTTTTTCAGGATGGACGCATAGAAAGCTGTAATCTGAAATAGGCTGCTACAATTGGGTGGGATAGCTCAGTGGTAGAGCGCTGGCTTTGCAATCGCATGGTCCTGGGTTCGCGCCCGGCTGCCCCTCTCAGTCGACTCAGCTGTGAATGAGCACTGTTATGCTGACGTCAGCATGCTAGGGTCAAAGTCGGGGCAGAAAGGAACATGTCACCCTACCGCCCGCGGCTTAGTAAGCATGTTTCTCTACAAAACATGTCCCTTACGTCCAGATGGATATGGGACCAACTTTGACTTTTGACAATGGGGTGAGGGAAAATAACTTCTCCAACGGTGATATAATCGGAGAGCTGGGCATCTCCTGGACGATGGTGTACATGCAGATAGGGTGGGAAGAGGAGGGCACCCATAACGACCAAAATACACCGGACATACACGGAAAGCTCCATTGCTGAAGGGAATTAAAGGTGTAAATGTTAGCCCTTTTCAGTATTTCAGAAATCAATTTATTTCAATTTACTATATAGATATTTGTTTATACAGAACAGTGCCCTACACGTCATATTTCATGTTCACATATGACAGACAAATTATCTATAAAACGGCGAGGCGCGGCCGCGTGCCCTGCGATATGTGGGGGTGGATCTCCCTACATGATGTTGGCGAAACGGGGAAAATGCCTCTTAGACAGATATATCGAATTGTTAGAAAAAATCCTCCCATCAGTACACTGTTATGCCTTGGCCCTTCCCAGAAACATATATATATATATATATATATATATATATATATATATATATATATATATATATATATTATATATATATATATATATATATATATAAATGTATATATACATATACGTATGTACATACACACACACACACACACACACATACACACACACACACACACACACACACACACACACACACACACACATATATATATATATATATATATATATATATATATATATATATATATATATATATGTATATATATATATATATATATATATATATATATATGCACACACACACACACACACACACACACACACACACACACACACACACACACACACATATATATATATATATATATATATATATATATATATATATATATATATATTTGTGTGTGTGTGATATATATATATATATATATATATATATATATGTGTGTGTGTGTGTGTGTGTGTGTGTGTGTGTGTGTGTGTGTGTGTGTGTGTGTGCGTGTGTATTAATGTGGATGCATGGAAGTAATATATGCAAACCTTGTTCAGAACACCTTTTGCAAATCATTCTTACTGATATACCTGTAAAATAAAAAAAATGAAGATTCTTGGAAAATATTTTCTTGCCGTTGGATTTCCCGCTTTACAACAATAGGGGCACTTCATATAACATTCGTGAAATCGTTACATACTGACAAAAAAGGAGCCGTATGTAATACATTACGGTATAACAGTACACTGACCTTTCACAGAGAGGAGGTGCCTTACCCATGGCAACACCTGACGACATCTCAGTACCAGGCAATTAATTCTATACCCGTTCACCGTTTCTTTAGTCACATATCAGGCTTAATTCCTGTCGTGAAGAAGCATATGTTAGCTGTTGCACGGGTCCTGAAGTAAAGGTCAGTAGCAAGATCTGTTCGGGATGACAAGATTCCTTCTTTGTATTCCTATCATTACGTCGTTGCCTACGTGTTGGGTGACACAACACTGGCTGTCATCGTGCGTTCTGTCACCTTTTTTCAGTTAGTTTCTCTGATTTTCAGGTTAAAATACGCATTGCTTGAACATCGTTTTCGTTTGTGATTTGAATCGGTATCTTTTTTAAGAAATAAAATATTACGAGGCAAATCTTTCATAGATCCTTAACGCGAGAATATGGTAGAAGAGTTACTTATCAGTTGTAATAAATGCTTTCGTTCTGTCTGACGATACAGTCTGGTCAAATGGTTGTTAACCATTGGTTGTCTACGACGCAATTAAACACCCAAGTCTTCATCATATATATATATATATATATATATATATATATATATATATATATATATATATATATATATATATATATATTAGAGAGAGAGAGAGAGATGCATTAAGCAACGGCCACAGAAGTCTTGTCTGTCAGGGGATCCTGACAGCCAGGCCGAGTGTCTGTCTGGTGAATGGTCACACTACCCCCCCCCACCCCCCCCTTAGAGATACATCGTCCCAGAAAAGACAATAATGTGTGCAAGTAACTTCCTGAATGAACATGTAGGTCATTAAAGTGAGTCGTGGATTCTGTATCGTCGTATATCAATAAAATTTTCTTTTGACACCCCATGGTTCAACAGAGAGAAAATCCGACAACAAACTTTCAAACAGCATATAACGCTATTAGTGACACAGTCTTGCCAGCCGTATGATTAAATCCCATGCAAAGCAAAGTTTCTTATTGATATCATCCATATTTTTGTTCTTCTTTCTGTTATCATATATATTTGAGGTTGCTAATGCATGTTCTCACTTTGCCAACCAGGCGGTAAATAAAATCTGAAGTGAGCTCCGTGTCGCTAGCATGTCGGAGAGGGTATTTGTTCGTATTCTTTGAGTAAAGGAACGCTTGTCAAGATAAATTTTAGTGAGGCATCATTGTTCGTTGTAATATATGTAACTTATTTCCACTGTTATTATTCCTAGGGCAATGATTCTTAACCTGGGGGAGTGGGCGCATCCCCCTTGGTGAGCCTGAATAGTAATGATTATGTGACAAATTCATACTCAATAAAAAGACTAAGACCATTTTTTTATCTTCTGTAAAATCTAGGAGGGAATTTTATTCATAGGTGCAAGGGAAGCGTGGAGTGAAGGATAAATTCCTTCTGTAGCCGGAGTGAAAGACCAACACCGGTTCTTGCTCGGTGCTGCTCTGTGCAGGGATTTTTTATCTCGATTCCCTTCACCGCTGGGGAAGTATCCCGCTCTATATATGGATCTCCGAGCACAGAAGACTAGTGTGACCAGTCCTTTATGGAAAAAAATATTCTAGAAATAAAGTGGCTAGTCCCCTATGGCAATCAGTTAAGATAAAAAACGTGTCGTTCAAGTGAATTATTCACTTGCTATATGCTCTATTTTGAGAAACAAACTCAGAACTAGGAAAATGATTAAGTTCTGAAGGTAATACTTCCAAATCAGACTACAGGAATAATCATACATCAGATCTTACATTGATTGTCCATCTCAACAATTATGTTCCGTTAACAATAGTCACAAAAATCTGAAATTTTACATTTCAGAGCTCAGGTCTGTTCACGATGTCCTGATGGTGCATTTGTAATTGCATCATTAGACCGTTACCATCCATCTCTCCATCTATCAGCCTTCTAAAATCCGTTGTTGAACATAGGCCTTCCCCAATCTGCGCTACCTCGTTGAGGTATAATTTCATCATTTCCTTATTTTTTTCCTTTAACGAAATATTACCTCGCTGCAGATAGAGCTAGAATTACTCTGTCAAATTATACGCTAATATATATAGAAAATACTGAACCAATTTCAATTATATTTCTTTTGGATAACTTGTGGGGGAAATTTGTTTGTAGAATATGCCCTTTATGCCTTTTTGAGTCATATTTATGGTTCTCCTGATAAAATCATATTTGTTCTTATTTTATATGACATATTACACAGTAAACTAATTAATAAACCGGTTGTGCCAGTGATTATGTTTGACAGTACCAATAGTTAATTTCAAACACGGGTTTGCCAATATTCATGATATTTAGAAACTTTTTACTGCTTCCGATCCTGCTTCTTGACACCTTGTTAATAAGATTGATCTGACATAACCCTATCTTCACTTAAACATTTTGCCTGCCGGTGTAAGACAAAGCATAAGACAGTTGTATAAAACGGCTTGAATTCCGTCCGCCAAGCCTGCAGCTTATCCTCTGCCTCTTCCTCCGCCCTCCACCAGTCCTCAGACGTGCGAGTGTTGTAAGTCGGTCACAGTTAGCGCCTTTTTGTGTTTCTCCGTTCGCTGCTGAACGTTGTTGTTCCGTTCGTTTTCT